ATTAGTTTTTGTATGTGGTGTGAGGTGTGGGTCGTTTTTCATTTTTTTGCAGATGGACATCCAGTTTTGCCAGCACCGTTTGTTAGAAAGACTATCTGTTCCCCATTTGATGGACTTTGGGCCCTTGTGGAAGATCAGGTGACCGTAGGTGGATGGATTTACATCTGGGTTCTCAATTCTGTTCCATTCGTCAATCATATTATTAATTTTTAATCACACAGGTAATTAATGAATATATTTCCCTTTGAGGGGGATAATGGCAGCTCAACCCCTCTCCGACCACCCCTCCCAATCCTGATGTCTTCTTGCCCTCTTCAGAGGCAGTGAGCATTACAAGCTTGCCAGGTATTCTTCCAGACGTTTAAAAAATATCTTTAGATAGTATATATACTATTATATATATGGAACCCTGGTGGTGCAGTGGTTAAGAGCTATGGCTGCTAACCAAAAGGTCGAGAGTTTGAATCCACCAGCCGCTCCTTGGAAACCCTGTGGGGCACATAGGGACACTATGAGTTGGAATCAACTCTACGGCAGTGGGTTATTATGTATATAGTGCATACATATGTACTCACAGAGCCTGCATAATATAGTTTTGTGTATTATTTTTATGTGTATGGTTTCATGCTTTATAAATCATTGTGGAGTTCTCTTTTTTACTTAATAGAACATTTCTGAGCTTTATTTATTTGATACATGTAGATCTAGCTTATTCCTATGAACTGTTGTATAGTGTTCAATCCTCTGAGTATACTACATTTTATTTAGTGATTTCCCCTTGTTGATGGTCTCTAGGTTCTCTTTGATTGCGAGGATGGTACAGGACTGGACAGTGTTTTGTACTGTTGTACATAGGGTTGCTATGAGTCAGAACCAACTTGACAGCACCTAACAGCAACGACAGCAACAACAGCAGCAAAGTTCTCTTTATTAAAAACTGTACTTCAATATTTGTGAGGTATTTGTTTCTTTTATATGATCCCTTATACTATATGTGAATGTTTCTTTAAAGTAGATTTTTTGATAGATTTATTGAAGTATGATTTATATACAATAAAATTCACCCTTCTAAGTATACAATTCTGTGAGTTTTGACAGTTGCAAACACAGCTGTGTAACCACAATTGAGCTATTGAACATTTAAAATAGATTTTAAAAAGTTGTATGTCAAGGCAGTCCATTGGGGGTAAGAATAGTTTTTTTCAGTGTGTAAAAGATGAAGTTGAACCCCTACCTCACACAATATACAAAAATTAACTCAATGGATCAAAGACCTAAATGTAAGAGCTAAAACTTTAAAACTCTCAGAAGAAGACATAAATGTAAGTCTTTGTGACCTTGGATTTGGCAATGACTTAGACATGACACAAAAAGTACAAGCAACCAAAGAAAAGGTAGATACACCTGACTTCATCAAAATTAAAAACCTTTTGTGCTTCAGAGGGTAGTGTCAAGAAAGTGAAAAGACAACCCAGAAAATGAGAGAAAATATTTGCAAATATATATTTGATAAGGGTCTAGCATCCAGAATATAAAAAGAACTATTACAACTCAAGAATAAAAAGATAAATTATCCAGTTAAAAAATGGACAAAGTATTTGAATAGACATTTTTCAAAAGAAGATAC